CTAACTATCAACCATGGACTTTGACAATAATAAGACTGGATGCCGCGCTTTCTTCCATTACACGTTGCCAACTTACAGACCCTAGCAACCTGTTTTTTTCATATCTGACCATCCCATGCATTAGACAGTTGCTTGTTTTTAGTACTGAACACAACATAATGTAATTTGCTACATTATCCTTGGTGCTTAATACAAAATAAAACCGAACTTTCAATATGCTCTCATCTTCAGGGTTACAACGAATCTTTTTTAATACAACTCAACAAAAAACTTTGCCATCAAAAACATCTTTTTATTGCAAACAACTTTTTCAAGCTTGAAATCCAGGGTCAGCCTTGTATAAATCGAAACTCGGAAAATTGCTGTCTCCGAATGGTATGTCAATACGTAGAACCCTTTTGATTGGTCAAATTTGTTGCATACGTCACCACAGAACAGCAGTTATAGGGTGCAGTGAGTGCTAAGTTCAACGCCAGTCTAACATACAGTTCAATGAAATTGTGCTCACATTTGAGGTCAACCAAATCCTGCGCCAAGCGATGGAAGTGAAGCAGATCGTTTTGGTTAGTTTTGTTATGTTGACATTGGTCGCCACTAGTATTGCAATCAGCCCAAGGTTATCGACTGGCAGCGGCGGTGGGAACATTCCACTCCATGCCAAAAGTAAGTATACTTTGCATCAGTAATCGTCAATAATTTATTTAAATAACAGAAAATATAAAAATAAAATTGTAAAAAAATACAGTGTACTGAAAAAGTGTTCTTTTTTTGTTGTTTGCGATGGAATAGTGGTAGATTATATAATTCATTGTTGTCTCAAATTAAAAACAGTGCAACATCAAAGCAAAAAGAAACAAATTAGATCGATATATTTATTTTTCTGTTTTTAGGGCCGATTAAAAAACGGAATCTTCATAAAAGTTCCATTATGTCTCGTGAAACACAAGATTTGGCGAACGACAACCAAGCCTTGAAACGTGGTTGTCCAAAATGCTAGCACCTCCATGTACAAGCATTATTATAAAACTTATTAATAATGCATGAGCTATTACTCCAATAAGGGTTGTCCATTTCATCAGGTGATTGACCTTGTAAATCAGATACAACACTGTGATACAACACTAGTGTTGTATAAGATTTACAACACGGTCGTCACCTTGAGACAACCCAACACTAGCAAAGGTCTCAGTTTTAGTGTCGCATCATAGACCTTCACTAGGTTTTGAAGCAATCAAAGACGGATAACAGAACTGGCTTATGCAACAGATGGMTTGCTTTCCATGTGGGATGGATAATTATTCAAAATGTTCTGTGTTGCAGTAAATTGCGCATGCTTAATAGCGACTCAACTCAGCAGTTTCCTTAATTGCCATTTTTTGTCATTTATCTCACTGTAATTCATGTTAATTTGTGTTGGAGTTTTATAAGTCGTTTACAACATTCGCGTCCGTGTTGTATGGGAATTACAATCTCTCGCCTGCGGCTCGAGATTGTAATT